CTTTCTTTCTTTCTTTCTTTCTTTCTTTCTTTCTTTCTTTCTTTCTTCTTTCCTTTTCTGGAATTCATGGAATTCATTCTTTTTGATGCTTCATGCCCTGGCTGTGCATTCCAGTGTGTATTTCTGGCAGTGACAATTGTTTCATTATTGAACTGACAGTTCCTGGAAGGCAAGCAAGATACACATTTGTATCACACATCCACCAGGGCCTTGTTCTTGGGAAATACTTCATAAAAATCAGGCTTATAAATGTATCTACCCAGAGCCAATTCTAGTTATGGGGATACTTGTGCGGAAATACAAATAACAGATTAGTTAGGAAATCATGATTAAAAACAAAACAGAACAACCACTGTGACTATGAGTCCAGGTTAATATTGTAACAGATGCTAAATGAAACACCAAAGAAGGATTTCTTGTGTAAAAGCTTTGCCAAGGAATAAGGGAAACACCCAATTCTTTTTGGGTGACATATGCCACTGAACAGACACACATCATCCAAAGTCATTATTTTCAATGTTAGATAAGATTTTAATTATTTTTTTTCTTGGAGATTGTATTGAGTATTGGGTGTAGCAAGGATCGTTTACTCCAAATTCTTAAGTGGTTTTTGTCAACAAGGACTCTTAACTTATGTCCTCTTGCTGCTAAACCTCATTTTGGTCTTTCAGAATAGTCAGTTCAAGGTGCTGGAGGTACATCCATGGCAAGGCCAATTTCTTTTTTTTCTTTTATTATTGTTTATTATTAGTAGTTACATTTTATTAACTCTGTATCCCAGCTGTATCCTGCTCCCTTATTCCCTCCCAATCTCACCCTCCTTCAGCTTCTCCCTGCCCCTTTCCAAGTCCACGGATTGGGGAGGACCTCCTCCCCTTTTGTCTGGCTCTGTTTTATCAGGTATCTTCAGGACTGGCTGCAGAGTCCTCCTCTGTAAGGACAATTTATTTATTTATTTATCTATTTATTTATTTATTTATTTATTTATTTATCTATCTATTTATTTATTTATTTATTTTTCTGAGACAGGGTTTCTCTGTGTAGCTTTGGCTATCCTTGACTCATTTTGTAGACCAGGCTGTCGAACTCACACAATCTGACTGCCTCTGCCACCCCAAGTTTTGGAATTCTTTTGGCATTACAGGTGTGTACTAGCACACCAGGCGGCAAGACCAATTTCTGAAGCTCAAGAGCTATCCAGGTGGCTCTAGGTATGGCTTATTCCGGGGAACATTTAATTTCTTTGGTTTGTACTGAAGTGCTACATTTATGGAGTTAGAAATAAGCAGACCTTTAGCTGATTTTTTTTTTTTTTTTGAGACAGGTTCTCACTATGTAGCCTTGGCTGGATCTTACTATGTGGACCAGGCTAGTTTCAGACTCACAGACCTTTGCCTGCCTTTGCCCCTGAAGTTCCAGGAGCTAAGGTATATGTTTAGCCTTTGACTGATCAAAAACTTTTATTATTTTAAAATTTGCTTTATAATAGACTTTGGTCCCAGGAGTCTTCATGGTCATGAAGTGGTTGTACTTTGAAAGTTATTTTAATGGAACATTGTACATATTTAAATTTTAATGTTGTAATCAGAAAATGCTTAGCAAAAACACACGTATTATATGGTGACTTGGCTCACAGGGGGAGAGATGAGGAAGACCTGGTCCTTAAGTTCATATAGATTGTTAGTGCCACAGAGAATACATCACCACTACAGAAGACAGAGCAGCCACAGAAATAGATCCCGAAGAACATGGACAAGGCGATATTAGCTCCTCTCCGTGGTGGGTGAATGGGGGCTAGAGAAAACCGTCCCTAGGAAATGCAATCTGAACAAGGTTCTGATGGAATGTGGATAAGGAAGAATGTTTCAGACAAGGGGGTTGACATTGGTAGAAGTGTGAGATAGCAGTTTGGGCTTGTGAGAGCAGATTTCTGTGGGGGGGGGAATAGAGCAGGAGCTGGAATGCAG